GGGCAGGGACGCCGCGCTGCGGGCTTCGCCGCCGCACATGCTCTGGAGGCAAGCGCGGCCCCGGGAGGGGGGTTAATCCTGGCTCTTCGTGAGGGGCGTGAAATACCGGGGATCTGCGGATGGTGCATGATGGCAGCTGCTAGGAGAGCAGGGCCGAGAAGGCACAAGAGGTCGTTGCTCTTCCGGTTCTCGTTACCCCCCCCATTTGCTGTATCCTTGATAATTGAATGTTTTCCATGTATCTGCCGAGCCATTTCAGAGGTGCTTGTGTGAAACCACAGCTCTATGCTCGATAAAATGAAAGCTTTTTGAGGGGTTTCTCTGTAGCCTGATGCTCCTAAGCTTTGCTTGCAAGCAATAAGCAGTGACCGTAATCTAATATGAAAATGGCTCTCTTCCAGGTCAGAGCGGAGCAGGAAACAACTGGGCAAAGGGCCATTATACGGAAGGCGCTGAATTAGTTGATTCCGTGTTAGATGTTGTAAGAAAGGAGGCAGAAAGCTGTGATTGTCTCCAGGGCTTTCAGCTTACTCACTCTCTCGGTGGTGGTACAGGGTCTGGCATGGGTACCCTTCTCATCAGCAAAATTCGTGAAGAGTACCCAGACCGAATTATGAATACTTTCAGTGTTGTACCCTCCCCTAAAGTATCAGATACTGTAGTAGAGCCCTACAATGCCACACTCTCGGTGCACCAGCTTGTGGAGAACACAGATGAAACATACTGTATTGATAACGAAGCCCTCTACGACATATGCTTCAGAACACTGAAGTTAACTACTCCGACGTACGGTGATCTGAACCATTTAGTGTCGGCAACCATGAGCGGTGTTACCACCTGCCTGCGATTCCCAGGCCAGCTTAATGCTGACCTGCGGAAGCTGGCCGTGAACATGGTTCCCTTCCCCCGTTTGCACTTTTTCATGCCTGGTTTTGCCCCGCTCACAAGCCGCGGGAGCCAGCAGTACCGTGCGTTAACTGTGCCAGAGCTAACGCAGCAGATGTTTGACGCAAAGAATATGATGGCTGCGTGTGACCCACGTCATGGCCGCTATCTGACTGTAGCTGCTGTTTTTAGAGGCCGTATGTCAATGAAAGAGGTCGATGAGCAAATGCTGAACGTTCAGAACAAAAACAGCAGCTATTTTGTTGAATGGATCCCTAATAATGTTAAAACAGCGGTCTGTGACATTCCACCTCGTGGCCTGAAAATGTCTGCCACCTTCATTGGTAACAGCACAGCCATCCAGGAGCTGTTCAAACGCATTTCTGAGCAGTTCACTGCCATGTTCCGCCGAAAGGCTTTCCTGCACTGGTACACTGGCGAGGGCATGGACGAGATGGAGTTCACAGAGGCTGAGAGCAACATGAATGACCTGGTGTCTGAGTATCAGCAGTACCAGGATGCTACAGCTGAGGAGGAGGGGGAGTTTGAGGAGGAGGCTGAGGAGGAGGCAGAGTAAAAGCTATGCAGATGAACTCCTGTAAATTTTGTTTAAAGCTGTATGAACTCTTTCATTCAAAACTTCTCTGTCTGTGTTGTGTTCCTCTTCCTGTCTCAAAGTCACTTCAAATGCTGTACAGGCACCATTAAAGCATTTTTCACAGTGCACAAGCTTGTCTCCTTTGTTCCTTTTGGTAAGCTTTTCGGGTGCTGTTTCCAAATGTGAGTGCATAGGTGTGTCGGAGGTCTGGAAAAAAGAAAAATACAGACTTGGCGTCAGCCCTGCCACTTTGCCCAAGGCAGCCACGCTTCTATCCCTGCCTCCTTGGAAGGTGGACGACTCTTGCTTGTGGCAGTCCTACTCGCTCCTGATGGTTACAGGAATAGAACAACTGCTCTGGGATGGCTTCCTAGTGTAGACTGCTGCCAGAGGGGGATAGACTTCACACTGAGGATGGAGTTCAGCTGCAAGCTGTGTCTAAATTTAGGCACCTGCTTTGGCCTCGTGTTACAGGCTTCACCCTGGCAGGAGCTGAGCAGCTCTCCTGACCCCAAGGGCAGTGTGGGTGTCTAAGCTGCTGCTTACCCTGGCTGCCTGGGCACCAGCATGGTGCAGACAAGTTGCCTCTGGTACGGGGGGTGTTTCTGGCAGAAGAGGAGCTGGACTGTGGCAGGAGAGCACTGGGGACAAGTGGCAGCTCCCCATGTGCGCAGCCTTGCTGGAGTCATGTTTTTTAAAATCGGCACATAGCAGTTTTAAAATAATCAGGTGTTACTGCAGCCCCAGCTTTTGAAGTGACATGAACACCTGATACCAAATTACATTGTTTTCTCTCATGACAACCCTATATTAAAAGTTTTTACTGTGGAAACAGTATGGTCAGTGTTACCTGAAGTAACAAGCCTGTCCCTCTGAGTAGCTGGACAGGAGGCAGCAGGCTGCTTTCCTGCTGAAGAAATTCTGTTCAGTGTTCTTGGTTATCACTGATTTTGGGTTAATTTTTTCTGTCTTAGAAATAAGTTTCTCCTCCCAGAGTCAAACTAGTTGGAGTATTTAAAATTGTGGTGGCATGTGGAAATCAGGGAAATGGGCCTGTCTGCAGGTAACAGGCAGCTGGTTTCAAACCTGCACAGGAGAATGCTTTTGTAGGTGAAAAACTGTTACCTCACACTCTAAAAATCTGTTGTCATCTTAAGCAGTTGATTTTTGTCCCCGATTTTAGAGTGGGTTTTTTCTTCCTCCTGTTCATTACAGTGAAGCTGGTGTGTGCCCTGGCCTGCTAGGTGCCAAGGGCAGGACAGTCTCGGGCACCCTCCCTGCAGGCTTGTGGAGAGGACAAAACACGGGCAAGCATTAACACTGGTTTACCCTTAGGTTCATAACAGCCTTTCTCCAGGGGGCTGGAGCTTGCAGGCTACAGCCCTGCGACGTGTGACCACAGCCCTCCCCGAGCAATCCAGCACAGAGGAAAAGGGCACCTGGAACACTCAGGGCTTTGCTGTAAGACACCGCGGAGCTGCCGTGCAACGGAAGGGGACAGGCAAGCGTAATGCACCAGGGACGGCAGCTGCTGTGCTCGCCCTCTGCCCCGGAGTCAGTGACAGAGGCGAAAACGAATGTATTTCTCTTCACCGTTGATCAGAAGGCCTGCCCAGCCTCACCTTCACCATCCGCATGTAAGGTGCTTCCATCCTTTCCCTTAGACCATCCTTCAAGCTCCTGATGACCAGTGGTGGGTTAAGCTTTGCTTTTCCTGCATGGCCTTCCCATGCCCCCAGTGCAAGTCTTGCTAGAGCCATACTCACTGCCTCGACCTCCTTCCCTCTGGGCTCAACAGACACAATCTCAATACCAGCCACCATCCAACCCTGCCAGGATAGTTTGTGTCTTCTACCATTTTCCTCCTCTGCACTGCATTAAGTACAAGCTATGAGTTTGGTTCTTTCTAGCTTATTTCTATGCTTTCCCATCCCTCATTACTGAGCTGTGGGCTCTTGACCTTGCTGTGGCCAGATACCAATATTAATTACCGATTTGTTGAAATTTTAGGCTAATTCCGTAATGCTCTTGCATGGGCAGAGCTTCCCCTTAACATACACAAAATTACTTTCTTCAGACCTCTCCTTTAGGCAACCCAGATAACTGACAAGGATCAGGTGGACACTACGGGGTAGCCACCACCTGCCTTGATGGCTAATACCCTTTCATTGCCTTTTTTTTTTGGTGCTTTCTCAACCCCTTTGTATCATCTGACTTTTGCTTTTTAGACCCAAATCACGCTCCTGATGAAGAAATTGTAATGCACCCGTGTAACGGGTGGGGTGTTACTGATCTTCCTCTGCTTTAGCAGAGGTGGCTGGAGACCAGAGGAATGTTCTGCACAAGTCCAGGCTGGCAGCGAGGATGATGGGCTCTCCTGCAGAAAGGCAGGGGATGGCACAACTCCAGCACCTTGGCACCGACTGGAAAAAAAAGAATCTACTACCCGTGTGAAACATTTCAGTAATTGTTCTCTACTACGACACTACAGCTAATAACAGCGCTACTTAACGACAGTAATTAGTATTAGTGACTTTCATTTTCACTCAGCTGATAAACTTACCTGGTACGAAACCCATGTAGGAAGGTATCAGTCCAGCACTGGTGTAAATTCTGTTGTTAGGCCAGTATGTTTGGGGAAATCTCTTGCCAAAGCTGCAAGCTGGGTTTCTCTGCAAAAACTGTAAAAAAAACCCCAAAAAACAACAACAAAAAAAAACCAAACCACAAAACCAAACCAACAGAGTACAGTTCATTTTAAACCATACTGCTGCTTCCCAAGTCATGTGCTTTGACTCTGCATTAAATATTTAAGCCAATGTAAAACAATTCTCTTCCCAGTTCTGTTTTCTTCTAAGCAGGAGCTACACTGCACCTTCCCTTTTTCCACTTAGTAAGTTTTTCTCCCGACGGGTGTTGGCAGCGGCCCTTGACAGCTGCCTCTGCTAGCCCATACCCCCAGGGAATGCCCCGCTAGCCCATAGCCCTGCGCACTGGCCTGGCTGTGGTCTTCAGGACCTCCGCAGACTGGACTGCCTTCATCACCCCTGGGCACCATCCCAGCAACCCCGAACGCCTCGTGCTCCTGTGTTTGATATACTGTGAGCCAGCGGTATCTGCTGGAGTTGGGTCCCCGGCGGCTCCTGTGCCATGACTCTGCACAGCTGTGGTTTGGTTTGGCCCCTTCAACTGGTTTTATTTTTCCACGAGTCCCACCGATGGTGATTAGCCAGTAATTCCCAGGCTAGGAGGAACAGGAAGGCTTAGGCAGCGTTAGGTGAAGGGAGAGTGTAAATCATCTCCTGGATCTGTCCCTGCCCTCCGAGGTCAGACCCAGATAAGGGGCCGTGCTGAAGGATGGGTGTTGCAGCTCGGCACGTCTCTGCAGCGGCAAAGCCCCTAAAGGTGTCACCAAAGCTGCGCCGCGCTCCTTGGCGCGCACCCTGCTCGGTGGAGAGGGGACGGGGGTCACGGAGCCCAGCAAACCGCGGGCACCACCCAACCCTTTTGTGACCGATGATGGAGCGAGTGCTGCGATTCCCTACGCGCAGCACCGAAGCGGGAGGATTGCGCTATTGTGCTCGGTGCAGACCGTAAGCAATGATCCAAGGCACATCCCGGTATGTAACCTAGGGCAGCAGAGATTTAGGGCAGAAGATTAGTGGCTTGAAGTCAGAAGCCATCTTAGACAGAAATGTGGTGTGATGGGTTTTTTTTAGCACGCTTATATTCCTTCAGTGCCTGATGTGCTGCAGCTAAGCGCTGCGAGCCTGGGTTCTGCTGAATCCTGCGATGGAGAAACGCCTCCCTCGCTGATTTACTGCGTGGCAGACATTTCTTAAGATATCAGGGGCAGAAAGGCTTTGCAAGCAGCACATTCAGGTTTGATAACGTCTGGGGTTTGTTCTCCTTGCTTCATTTCAATTCCTATTAACGGCAGAAGGAACGGATAAGGAAGCCAGTACAGGGAAATACATTTCAGCCAAAGCATCAGGCTGCCATGAGCTCTGTGAGCTGCTGAGTCATTTCTCCCCAGCTGAGTTTCTCTGAGCTGGGGATCCTCAGTCTTGGATCTTCCCTACATCAGGCCCATATGCTCTGGGACGAAGGCAGCGCAGTGAACCCCGCTGACCAGGAAGGGCTGGAGATGTTGTAACCTGCTTTCACTGAGCTGATCAACCCTCACCAGCGCCGGACCAGCGAGACGGCTGCAGCCCAGGGATCTCATGCCGTCCTGGTAGCAGGAAGAAATGTGTAGCTTTGAATGCAAGCTATTAACTCGTGTGGGAGGGATCTCCTTTTCCCGTGTAGGAGGATTATATGGCATTATATGGGGCGTGATCTTAAAAGCAAGGGGATATGAAATATTTTTTCAGTAGGGCTTTTTCTGCATCCTTCCCAAAAGGAGGAGAAAAAAGTTCTACATCCCTTTAAGACAAATTATGTTAGTAAAGGAAAAAGCCTTACAACCAATTAAAAGGGAGAAATAGCCATCCAAGCAGCCCAGGAAGCCATCCAGCACTGCCATCGAGGTAGAGAAGAGATACTGCGTAAGGGAAGCGCAGATAGTTGCTTCGCGTGTTTCTGCACTCAGAGCAACATTTTTAATAGCCACTCTTGAGCCAACCCTCAATAGATTTGCTTAATCCCTTTATGAACTCATTTATCCTCCCTTAATGTCCCAAGGAAACAAGTTACAGAATTTAATTACTCATGATTTTTTCAACATGTTACCCAATAGCTTTTTCCTTTGCTTGTACTTATAACACCAGTTCCAATACTACTCCTGCAAATGAAACCACATTTGGTGTTGCACCTGAATCAACACCAACATTATATTCTTGAAATAAGATTTGTGGATATGATCTACCTGATGTCGGTCAAATTCGTTCATGGCTTCCTTCACAGCCTGGAGGTAGTTCACACCATTAATCCAGGTGAGGCGGGGGATGAATCCAGCATACCCTTCGGATGAAGACAAGAGAGAACATTTTCTGCTTGAGAGCATACGTGTCATATAAAGATCAACCAGTCTGGAAGTGGAAGAGGCTGGGGTAAATATAAAACCTCAGCAGAATATAGGAAGGAAAAATTCATCTATTTAAATTGTAAAATTAACTCTTTTATGTGAAGTATCTTCTGAACAAGTCTTTTTTTACAATTCCCAAGGAAAAGTGAATGAGCTGAACTGTCTTTTGTTGGTCTGCATGAGGTATGGAAGAAACACTTCATTTTCTTACAGTCTTTTCTTTAAGCCAGCAGCTCTGTTGTGTTCTCTCCCAGTTTAACACACATTCAGGGGCTAACAACCGGGTGTCCAACCTTTCTTTCTCATTTGCCCTGCCCATCCAACAAATTTTCACCAATTATAAGATAGAAACTATATAAAGTCTAAAAGTCCACAAAGCAGCGAGAGGTACAACCTAAAAGAAGCCAGAATTCCCTCTTTCCAAAGGGATGCTTTGGAGAGAGAAAAACTTGTTTTCTGCATCCTAGAACATCAATGCTTTTTCACTCCATCTGAAACATTTTGATGTGCAACCCCTGTATTCGCTGTGGACCGCGGCAGAGCGAAGTGTCCCTCCGGCTGGTGTCGTAGCCTTTGGGGGAGTCCAGTGCATCGCCTTTGGTAATTCTGCTTGCAGAGGGACGCTCTTACAGCGCAAGCGGAGAAGTCACAGAGTACAACTCCTTGTAAGACAGAGTTTTATACCTTTATGACGGTGCAATACACCATTGTTTGCTGATTTGATGATTCAGAAAAGCACCTTATTTCTAGGAGAGAGATAACTACCTCAATGGTAACAGATACTCATCAAGCTGCTGGAGTTGGTGCAGAGCCCATGACCCATCTCTCCTCGCTCTTTGGAGCATTTTCTAGCCTGGCCCCACAGCTGTAGGGAACTGAGGTGGCTCCTGCATCCTTTCCACCCGCCCGTGGGCACGTGTCCCTCAGCGTGAGATCCATGGGGGTGACAGCATCCCAAAGAGACACCCTTGCATGGAGAGGAGCAGGGGCATTTTCCATCCCAAAGCGTTCAAACGAGCTGGAGTGACTGGCCAATGTCTCCCAGATTTCCCCAGGGGGACACGATTTCTTCCAAGGTGGACTTGTGCTGCGTGTGACCTCCCTCTTTTTTACCTGGAATGACTTTCTGTTGGATCGCGTTTGGTACATTCAGTTTTGGTAGCCGATCGTCTTGCTCCACATCTGCGGTTTCAGCCACTCCTGGCAGAGTCACACCTTCAATTTTTACGGGCTCAAAATAAAAGCAGAAATAAAATAAACACCTGCAAAACCCGCTTCCTCCTCTGGCTCCTTTGTTTAAATCAGCGACACAACCTGTGAATGGCAACTGCCATTTCCATTTCTTCCCACTTTACACTAAAAGCTACTCCAAGAATTTCTGGTAAAGTCAAATTGCTAGATGAGCTCTCTGTACGCAGAGGTTTTGCAAAATCCCCAGGGAGAACAAGGGGAGCTCCTTCGCAAATCTGTTTCTCAG